TGTGAAATTTATGAATTATTTTGGTTTGGTTTGATTGTTTTTTATAGGTTTTCAAGGTTATTTATTATTTGCTATTATATTTTCTCTCTGGCGACCACTTCTAATGTTAGTTATATAGTGCTCTTGCATCAAAACAATGTGTATTTCTGAGTGAAAGCTTGTTTATGGTGTGGAGCGGTCACAGATTGACTGGTCATTTCTGACTGCATGCTGAACATGTTTCATGTGACTGATAGTTCCCGTACCCACGCAGCGAGAGCCATCGGTGTTCAGGTGATATCCCCGTCCACAGCTCACCGAGTGTCTCTGGCAGGTGTAGGAGCCGACCGTGTTGAAGCACATGTGACCCGATGGACACGGTCCCGTCACGCTCAAACACTCGTTTATATCTGTCACACACAAGGGGAACGTTATGGGCTCTGATCAGAGGCATCATGCCCATTCAAACCAGATTTTTGAGCCAAGTGGATTTTGAATGCAGCTTCCAAAATACAAAATATAGCCGAAGAATATTTTTACAATTTCATACAATCACATTTGTGTGATTAGATCGTTCAGTGCGTCTAAATTGAAATCTGTGTTTTTTTACAGCGCTTTCACAGCATTATAACCAATCACACACGATTCTGTTGAGCTTAACAATGCATTGACCAATCAGACGTGTTCAGATGAGTCATCGCTGAAACCCAGATGTTTTGTTCACTCACTCGCTGAAGGAATTCTACTCTCTGACGAATTCTCTCATCAGAAACAACAAAGTGCAGATGTGCGTATGATTAATTAGTAAATTACAATGTTTTTATTAAATTCACATTAAATACAAAGTCAGTCGTATTAAAAATATTTGGCAGCAGCTATTTGCGCTAAGTCTAAATAGCGATAGATGCAATAATAAAGTATTGAGTGTAAATTATCATTTTAATTCAAATTATTAAATGGATGCAATCTTATTGGGACAATAAAGCCCTCCCCACACCCACCCTAACCCTACCCGATACTTTCTTTCAACTTATTTGATTATTTCCTTCATTTTTCTTGAAAATAAATGCCTTTCTGATGTGTTATGAGATTTGAAAAGGGGCAAAAAGTGGGTTCCAACTCGCGTCAAAAAGCATGCACTTTATCATCTACGCCACTGGAACTGTTGCTAGATGATCGTCTTTTGTAGTGTTGACAATCCCAATCACACGCTGGTGGGCGGAGTTAGTGTAAATAGACACTCTGAAAATATTTTATGGCATGACACCCATATCTGGTACTCAAGTAAAAAGACTGGTTTTTATGCATAGTTAATAGATTACACTATTTTACACTATTTTACACGCTACTTTGCCCATCGCCTGTTATAGATCAACTAACATAATCTATAAAGGTGCAAAATGCATCTACTTACACATATTTAAGAATCAAGATATTTCATGATATAGTTAACACGTTAGGGAATATTTCGAATAAAAAGGAAAAAATAAATAAAACATAAGCCTATATCAGTTATACTTATATATGTGACCCTGGAGCACAAAAGCAGTCATAAGTAGCATGGTTATATTTGTAGCAATAGCCAACAATACATTGTATGGGTCAAATTTATCGATTTTTCTTTTATGCCAAAAATCATTAGGATATTAAGTAAAGATCATGTTCCATGAAGATATTTTGTAAATTTCCTACTGTAAATATATCAAAACTTAATTTTTGTTTAGTAATATGCATTGCTAAGTCCTTCCTTTGGACAGCTTTAAAGGCGATTTTCTCAATATTTTGGTTATATCTCGGCCAAATATTGTCCTATCCTAACAAACCATACATCAATGGAAAGCTTATTTATTCAGCTTTCAGATGAAGTATATATCTCAATTTCCAAAAATTGACCCTTATGCTTATGGTTTTGTGGTCCAGGGTCACATAGGGTCACAGGGCTGCTGTGTGTCATGACGAGCAACACCCCCAACCCCCCCACCTCTTCACTCGTGCCCCCTCAAAAAAATGAGTGCATCCTGGCTCTGATGTTTCTGAAGTTTGGCAGCTGGTGTGAGTGTGTCTCACCGATGCAGCTCCCGAGAGCGTCCTGAATGAATCCCATGCCGCACTGCACTCTGGGACGGCAGCGGAACGAGCCGGCTGTGTTCTGACACTCCAGCTCAGCTGCGCAGTTATGAGTGCCGGTTTCACACTCATCAATGTCTGAAACCACACACAGGACACTGCAGTTATCATACTGTACATGCACATTACAGCTGTGGCATTTATTATTATTATTAAGGAGAATTCACGTACATGGCTGGTATATGCCTGCATGATTCATCGAAATAAAACCAAAATCACGATATGGCACGATAAAGGCTGTGATTTAAGTAAATAATTCACTGTTGCAGTTAAGTATTCATTTAAATTTCACATTTTACTGTGAAATATCACAATAGTGGTAGTTATTTTGTTTAATAACATAATTTAGTAATAATAATAAATTATTATTATTATTATACTAATAATTATTATATTATTAGTATTTAATAAAATATTAATATATAATCACACCTTTTTTGGCCAAATTGTGCAGCCCTACAAAAACATTAAACCTGTAGTTTTTTATGCAATTACATAAAAAAAATTGCAATTAGATATTAGAATAGTCATAGTTTTTTTTTGTTTAATAATTTTATTTAGTAATAATAATAATCATAATAATACATTTGTATGTATTATTTAAAATTAGTATTATTATTTTATATAAACAATTATATTATTATATCCGTGACAAATCATGCAGCCCTGTAAACACATTAAATTGAAATCACAATC